AGATATGGTTTATCGGACAGATACTCTTTCATAACTAGTAAACAATTGTTTAAAATCCTAAACTTTCGTTTCAAGTATATTTTTCTACAGAGCATATTCTCTTTCTTAATATGGAAATTTCATTTCAATACTAATCCCCCACTTACCTTTTGTTGCTGAAAGATCAAGCCTTGGCACACACCCCACCCCATCCCATAAAATAGAGTAGTAGAATTTTTTCGACGTTAGCCTTTTTAGCTCACCTGAGCCGAAGGCTCAAGTGAGCTTTTCTGATCACATTTTGTCCGGCGTCCGTCTGTCCGTCCGTCCGTCCGTCTGTCTGTCTGTCCGTCTGTCCGTAAACTTTTCATATTTTCGACTTCTTCTCAAGAACCAATGGGCCAATTTCAACCAAACTTGCCACAAAGTATCCTTGGGTGAAGGGGATTCAAGTTTTTTCACATGAAGGGCCACGCCCTTTTCCAAGGGGAGATAATCATGAATTTGTTAAAAATTAATGGCATTTTTAAAAAATCTTCTTCTCCAGAACCGCTGGGCCAGGAAAAATGAAACTCATGTGGAAGCATCCTCAGGTAGTGTAGATTCAAGTTTGTTCAAATCATGACCCCCGGGGCAAGGGTGGGGCCAAAATGGCCGACCCAAGTTTTACATAGGAATATATAGGAAAAATCTTTAAAAATCTTCTTCTCCAGAACCACTGGGCCAGGAAAGACGAAACTCATGTGGAATCATTCTCAGGTAGTGTAGATTCAAGTTTGTTCAAATCATGACCCCCGGGGCAAGGGTGGGGCCAAAATGGCCGACCCTAGTTTTACATAGGAATATATAGGAAAAATCTTTAAAAATCTTCTTCTCCAGAACCACTGGGCCAGGAAAGATGAAACTCATGTGGAATCATCCTCAGGTAGTGTAGATTCAAGTTTGTTCAAATCATGACCCCCGGGGCAAGGGTGGGGCCAAAATCAAACCCTAGTTTTACATAGGAATATATAGGAAAAATCTTTAAAAATCTTCTTCTCCAGAACCACTGGGCCAGGAAAAATGAAACTCATGTGCAAGCATCCTCAGGTAGTGTAGATTCAAGTTTGTTCAAATCATGACCCGGGGCAAGGGTGGGGCCAAAATGGCCGACCCTAGTTTTACATAGGAATATATAGGAAAAATCTTTAAAAATCTTCTTCTCCAGAACCACTGGGCCAGGAAAGACGAAACTCATGTGGAATCATTCTCAGGTAGTGTAGATTCAAGTTTGTTCAAATCATGACCCCCGGGGCAAGGGTGGGGCCAAAATGGCCGACCCTAGTTTTACATAGGAATATATAGGAAAAATCTTTAAAAATCTTCTTCTCCAGAACCACTGGGCCAGGAAAGATGAAACTCGTGTGGAATCATCCTCAGGTAGTGCAGATTCAAGTTTGTTCAAATCATGACCCCCGGGGCAAGGGTGGGACCAAAATGGCCGACCCAAGTTTTACATAGGAATATATAGGAAAAATCTTTAAAAATCTTCTTCTCCAGAACCACTGGGCCAGGAAAGATGAAACTCATGTGGAATCATCCTCAGGTAGTGTAGATTCAAGTTTGTTCAAATCATGACCCCCGGGGGTAGGGTGGGGCCAAAATGGCCGACCCAAGTTTTACATAGGAATATATAGGAAAATTTTTTTTTAAATCTTCTTCTCCAGAATCTCTGGGCCAGGAAAGATGAAACTCATGTGGAATCATCCTCAGGTAGTGTAGATTCATGTTTGTTCAAATCATGACCCCGGGGGCAAGGGTGGGGCCAAAATGGCCAACCCAAGTTTTACATAGGAATATATAGGAAAAATCTTTAAAAATCTTCTTCTCAAGAACCACTGAGCCAGGAAAGATGAAACTCATGTGGAATCATCCTCAGGTAGTGCAGATTCAAGTTTGTTCAAATCATGACCCCCGGGGCTAGGGTGGGGCCAAAACGGCCGACCCAAGTTTTACATAAGGAAATATAGGGAAACCTTTTAAAATCTTCTTTTCAAGTACTTCAAAGCTTAATATGATTAGTGATATTTATATGGAATCATCCTCAGGTAGTGTAGATTCTAGTTTGTTCAAATGATGACCGCCTGGAGGGGGGGGGAGGGGAGTAAATTCAAGCCCGATGTGCTCAGGTGAGCGCTGTGGCCCCTGGGCCTCTTGTTTTAAAATTAATTTATTTACTAGTATTTATTTATTTTGCTTGTGAAAATATTTACTAAGAAGTCCCCCAACAATTTTGAAATCATTCAAACCATTCCTGTGACCTGAAACTTGCGACAATAATTATAATATACATGAAGGCCTACAAAGAATGCGTTCGTAAATTAATTAAATCAAACCTATTCATTTGAAAGCATAATAAGTTTTGTATAAATTCAAAATTATCGTTAACATTTATTTTTTAATTCATAAACTTTATTTTACAGCAGTAAGAAGTATATGGAGATAACAAATAGTATTCAATCTCAAAGTCCATAAAACAATACAAAATAAGAGCAGAGCAAACACGGACCCCCGAAACATCAGAGGTGGGATCAGGTGCCATGGAGGAGTGAGCATCCCCCGCCGACCGGTCACACCCGCCGTGTGCTCCTTGTCATGATCAGAAAATAACGGAAAAAACCCGTCGTCAATTCAGTGTATAAATAATGGACTAACAATTGGTATGAAAAACGTCAGTCAGCATTGACTCAATGATAAATTGTATTTGCTGACAAGGTCATTGTATCGACCATAGAACTTACGAAATGATGACTTTAAACGAGACTGCTGATATTCTTGTTTCATCAACTTGCTTGTCAATAATTTACCTCGTTTCAGAAATTGTTCATATGTAGAGCATGCTCTTGCGTATCGAATCAACTGAGATATATATACTCCGTATGCAGGTGATGAAGGTATATTGCTGCATAAGTAAGGGAAGTTGACGATAGAAAAGTTTAAGTCATCACGTTTATCAAATAGTTTGGTTGTTAGATTACCATTAGCGTTTTTTTCAAGTAAAATATCCAAGTATGAAACAGAAGTGTCGGACTCTGTGGTATCTTTTATCTCAAGCTCACCAGGATATATCGTATCGACGTAGGAATGGAAATTACCATTGTTAATTGACAATACGTCGTCGATATATCTAAATGTCGAGTTGAAGGCCACAGCAAGTGTTTTTTCTTCTTTTCACGCATAAGATTTTGCATAAATCCTGCTTCATATGAATATAAAAATAAGTCTGCTAATAACGGAGCGCAATTTGTACCCATGGGAATTCCAATAGATTGTTGGAATACCTGGTCTCCAAAAACCACATAGATATTGTCAATCAGAAACTCAAGCATCTTCTTGATGTCAACTTCAGAGTACTTATGTGTGCAATCAGAATCTGTTTTAACAAAATAATTTTGCAAATGACCAATGACGAGGTAAGTAAATTTACGAGTTCCATTTTTATTAAAGAAGCAGCTGTCAATGATATCAAAAAGCCTGGATTTTAATTTGTCGTGGGGAATTTTTGTGTATAAAGTTGAAAAGTCGTAAGTTTTCAACATGTTGATTTTTGATAAAGTCTTGTGATTTCAAATTGTCCAAGAGTTCTTTAATTAGAATTTTTTAGTATCCACATCTGATTCACACCAATTCTTGAATATATAGTTGCACAGTACTCTTGAAGTTTTTCCTTCACTACTGTCAATATCTTAGTGAGGAGTAACGAAAGAGGTTTGGTTGAACATTTACTGGAACCTGCAATGTATCTTTGTTTGTAAGGATTCTTATGAAGTTTCGGAATCCAATATATATAAGGTAGTTCAAATTCATTTTGACTCTGTGGAATATTAAAAGTATTCAAAACTTACACTGAACATGTAAACGAGTACAGTGAATGATAGGTTATGTCGATAAATTATGAATGACAATCGTCAAAATCATAGGCGCTCCCCATGTAATTCTGTAAGTGACAAAAGATCAGTATGAAAGAGTCTACCTCCTCTACACTATAAATTCAAAACAAAACAAAAAAAATATATGAACGTGATGATTTTAACTTTTCTGTCATCAACTTTCCTTACTTATATAGTAATATACCCTTGGAACTTGCATATGTTTTTTTTTTTGTCTCCCAGTTGATTCGATAAACAAGAGCACGCTCTACGTACGAACAATTTCTAGAACGAGGCAAGCTATTAACAAACAAGTTTTTGAAACAAAAATATCAATCGTTTCGTTTACAGCAAATACTATCCATTACTAAGTCGATTGCTGACTTTCTTTTCTTAGTTCTTGCTTTATTTACACACTGGACTGTGTACGGATTTTTCCGTGTTCCCAATCATGTGAAGGAGTACACGGCGGATGTGACCAGTCAACAGGGGATGCTTACTCCTCCATGGCACCTGATCCCATCTCTGATTAAATCAGAGGTCCGTGTTTGCATTGCTCCCCAATTTTGAAGTTTCAATAGACTATTTGGTTTGATTAGTTTTTATCTCTATATTTCAATGTATAATTATAGCATTTTTTTATATTTCCGACCTTGTTTGTAATAGAGGAGTTTTCCATACCTTGTCCATTTGCTTTTACTCTACCCCAGACCAAAAGGGGGATAATGATCCTGTAGGGCCCCCCCCCCCCCTTCTCAGATGTAAAAGATTTCTGGGCAAAATATCCAAAATCATTTGTTGAATTCTAGACTTTAAATACAATTTCACAAGATTATCACTGCAATAAAACAAATTCTTGCCAATAAAAACTGGAAACATATATAGTTTCTAATGCATGTACTTTTGAGGCACCACAAAGATACAATGTACCAGTGAAATTGCAAAACTAAAGCTGCATAATATAGGTAAAATAGAACATTTTATAACAATAACACATGTAACAGTGCAAGTAGCAGAGACGGAGAGAAAAGTCACAGTTCAATACCCAGATATCCAAAGCCGAAGTATGTAATGAAAGGTAGTTCGCACTTCCAATTCACTTCAAAATTACCAATGACAACTTGAAAATTATAATTTGCACAATTTTTATTCTTTACATAGCATATAACTGTTGACCTTCAATAATAATCATAACAAGATGCAAATAAGAACAATTCACATTTACAGTAAAAAAAGAGTCACACATGATCAAAAAGGAAGAATAAATAACAAATACTTGTCATGTGTAAGACCTCATTAAAAGTACAATAGAAATAAATGCTTCAATCTCATATTTATTACAATTAGTAAGTTCTGTAACCTCATGAAGAGTATCTATAGACATAATAAAGCTTTTGGCAGGTACAGTTCCGGGCAAAGTTTTGTATTTATTACTGATCATAATTCTGTATATATACACGTACTTTTATTTAAAAAAATAAGACACTATATAATAATTGCCTTAGATAACTTCTATGTTAAAATATGTTTTTTTTTTGGTTACATCTCCCTGAACTTTTCAAAATAATCTAAATGCAGCCTTACAAAAATTTGCAAAGTAAGGACTAAGTGGTCAACATATTCATGTAAAAACCTCAAAAGCTGATTCTCTACTCTCTCATCAACATCAGCTTTACTTTTCTCTACTCTCTCATCAACATCAGCTTTACTTTCTCTACTCTCTCAACATCAGCTTTACTAACTCTACTCTCTCAACATCAACTTTACTTTCTCTAATCTCTCATCAACATCAGCTTTACTTTCTCTACTCAGTCAACATCAGCTTTACTTTTCTCTACTCTCTCATCAACATCAGCTTTACTTTTCTCTACTCTCTCAACATCAGCTTTACTTTTCTCTACTCTCTCAACATCAGTTTACTCTTCTACTTTCTCATAAACATCATTTTTCCTCTTTTCTACTCTCTCATTAATATAAGCTTTACTCTATTCTGTTCATCAACTGAAATTTCTGGTCTAATCTCCATCTGAATTGTTGAAAATCGTGGAGAGGTGACAAATTACTTGTCAGAATTTGCAGCTTCCTCCATTGATTCCACACTGAATGTTTTTTTTTTCTTCAACAATCCTCTACTTAAAGTAAACTGCTTCCTAGTGCATTTTAACTTTACAATCATATGTATAACCAGGACTCTTGTGTTGTACTGACACCTCCATTTATCTCTAAAGAAGATTCCAACTGCTTGCTTTTCCCTAAATATTCACTCTTCTCACAGTATTTTAATGCAAGTCAAATACCACATGTACTTCATTATCATATGTGATAGCCCAACTTACAATGTGTATAATGAAGGCTCTTACACAACACTGCCAGCTACCTCCATTAATCTCAAAAGAAGATTCCACACTCAATCTTCTTTCCTTAACATTCACTTCACTTAGTCTAATACCTCCAAGTTAAATCAAACCAAGTGTGTAACTAGGCACTCCTGCACTGTAGTACCATCTACACTGTACCTCATCTGATCTTAAAAGTAGATTTCACACTCAATCTTTTCTCTCTTAAATATTCACTCAACTTGAGTCAAATATCTTCTTCACTAGTGTATAAGTGAATCCCAACCACACAATTTGTATAACCAGGCAATCTTGGCTTGTACTGCCATCACACTCAGTTGTATAGACATCGCTCACATATCAACATCAATATCATCTCTGGCACATCATGAAGCACTGAGACACATATAAGAACATCTTAGATAAATATTAAAGACGAGAGCACCACACAATATTTCCTATCATACACACAAAATTACTAACTTGCCATTCAATGACATCCTGCCTTTTTATCACAATCAGCTTTGTATGTGTGTAAAAGCAGGTAAAATGATACAAAAATATGCAGCACAGCTACAAAATGCAGCATAATTTAAACAAGTTAGGCAGTGTTAGGAAAAAAAACGGAATAACCACATCCGCAAAAAAAAAGGTATTTCGGTTACTGATCTCCTATCCTCTCATACATTAACATATAGGCCTCTGTTGAGAAAACATCCGCAATATTGACAGGTATCACACTGTTATCAGAACAACATAGCCACCTTTCTTTCCTGTATGTTCCCTTCACCGTGTTAGGACTGCGGCGATAGGTAACGAAATGTCCTGAATTGACATTGCCCAGGTGTACGATAACAGCGCTCAGTCTGTACGTGAGAGAGGACTTTGTAGATTTGCTGAGATCTGTGGGTCCGTTGTGGTTGACATCGGAATGGCTGTTCTGTGTGTCAGTCTGGGGCTGCAGGAACAGTCCATTCTGATTGGTGCGATTGTCATAATTCAGGGTCCTCAAGAGGTTTACAGGGGGTGCTGTTCCTAGGTTAAAAGTGTTCTCTTCATATTTTATCCTGGATAAAAGTCAAACAGTCCACTATAATACATATATTTCAATAGATATTTACATTGGTACAATACATGACACATTAAAATTCTAAGATGCAGTAATTCTTCACATGATATAGAAACTAATACTCATTCAAACATTATGTACAATAATATAGCATTGATAAAGCCCACTTGAGTGTCATTATATTTTATCAAGGATAAAGGTTGCTTAATTTAGCAAATGACATTTCTGGCAGTTGGATTTAATGAACCTATATTCTGGATTTAAATAGGTTCATATACGGATGATGTAGAACAAACTTGAATCTTTTGACATAAGTTTTAACTTTTCTAGCCAAGTTGTTCTTAACAAGATTTTTAAATACTCCCTCCCAGTTTTCACTATTTTTTAGTTATATCCCCTTGAAAGAGAGTGTGGCCCTTCATTTGAAAAAAAAAATGGAATCCCCTTTGCGCCAAAATACTCTGTGCCAAGTTTGGTTGAAATTGGCTCAATGGCTCTTGAGAAGAAGATGAAAATGTAAAAAGTTTACAACGACAGACAACAGACAACTTTTAATCAGAAAAGCTCACTTCAGCCTTCAGCTCAGGTGAGCTAAAAAGGCAAACAGAAGTGAAAAAATGCATTATTCTAGCTTTCATTAGGCACATAAATGCAGTAGTTTAAAATCTTTTCAACATTCCTAGACTTCTAACTCTTAATTATTTCAACTCTTAATTAGATTGGCCACAATCAAATTCAAAAGCTGTTCTTATCAATGTTTAAGGAGGCTCATTACGCCACTTTTTGATGACGTACTTCACAAAAAAATAAACCTCCATTGCGTCGACCGGTTTCCTCTGGGGACGAGTTGTACAGGTACCTCTATAATATGACCCTGACCTTTAAAACGCTTTAAAAATATATGAAACATGTAGTCTAGGTCACCTACACGTTTGTTGCATCGATGCATGGTCTCACACCAAACGTCTAGGAGCATTCCACTATAAATATTTTTACTTCAGAATGAGGCTTATCCAGAATTTGATAAAGCCTGTGATTGGTTGAACAAAAATAAACATTTGACAGCAGAGTTTTGGCTGATCTTAGAATCGACTTTCCTTTAAAAACATCACAGAAAGTATGCCTGGAGAAATTAGCAGATAGGTTCGACATATTTGCAGTGCTAGCTACGGGTTATGGGAAGTCAATGTTATACCGAAATTGATGCTTGAAGTTGAAGATTATTTACAGTGTGCCGTAGTAATTTATATAGGTCATTAGTCATCTGGTACACACAGTGCGTATGCAGGTGTAGGAGTTTGCAGATGAAATAATAATCAGTCTAAATGTTAGAGTACACACTTTCTAATCACTTGCTGAATTTAAAAAAAAAGAAATATATAGAATGTTTGACAGTATATGCTTATTTACTTTTTAAATGTAATGACTCAGCGGAGTCGCCATAAAAATTTAGAGTTAACGTTCTTTAACAGCGCCGCCCCGTGGTGAAAATTTTATCTACAGTATGCTCCAAGGCGTTTGAGTGGGGGGTCAAACGACTTGCGTGACCTAGGCTAATGAAACATGCGGTGTTATAAACAGTGAAAACAAAGTAACGGATTCATTATGCCTAAACCAAGAAGAATTGCTTTTAAGCAGAAACAAAAGAAAAACAACAGTCAAATCTTCGCCAAACAAGTAATGTCAATTTCATAGCGATGCATGCAGTGAGCTCTATCAATCAATGACATGTTTGTATAGAGGAAATTCAAGTTAAAATCCTCAACCTTGTTGAAATTAAAAAGTTATTTACTTGCACTATTTACTGTGTTGGTGTTAATTCATATATTTGCTTTATTGATTTAAATGTATAATCTGGCAATTTAAAGCTTTGCTCTGAATTTTAGATGTAATGTCAAACGTTCCTTAGCGTTTTGAGTCTTGGGTAATTAGGAAAGATAACTCTTGAAAGTGGACTTTTTATACCAAATATTTTTTAAATTGGATTTTTCATTTCGTTTAAACATTCTTCATTCAATTTGACACATGTAATTCATTGAAATACATTCCTTGTCTCTTCAGAACTCATTTTATTAATGTTTTATGCATAGATTAAAAAGATAATGACATTAATTGTTTTTTATGAGAAAATTATTTTTTCTAATAAAATTATTATAAGGTATTATGAGGTATTTTCATTGTGTGTACTTGTCTTAAGAAGATGCCCATCATTTGACACTGAAAGTTCTGAAATTCTATTGATATTAAACTTGAAATGAAATATTTAACTAAAATTAGACAAAAACTAAAAAATTCTTTAAAAAATATTTATGATATCAATACCCCCATCCGGATATTTGACATCTACATTATAAGTGGTGCTGTATTGAAATCTTAAATAAACTGTGGATGTAATGAGCCACCTTAAAATAAAGTTTTTTCTATGTATAGCATTCAATCAGTTCAATACCCAAAATGGAATAGCTCTCCTCCCCCACTGAGTCCCCCCTTTTTCCTGGACTCCTTGGCTGCTGTCTTATGGTAGACAAACTCACTCATGTCCAGAATGTCTGGGTAGGAGACAAATTCCCGTCTCTTTATGGGCATCCCATTGTCCATCCACTGGCATCTCTGGATGTGGATTGCCAGACACTGGGGGAGCTTAAAGAATCAAAAGTTATCATTAGACTCTTTGTTTTCTTAATTTTGTAACTACGTGAAAAGTAAAGAAATCAAAATTAAAGATTTACCTATGTTTTATTGTAGATGTATTTTCCTTGTCTTAGCACTATTGACTGATTTTGCTAAAACAACCTCAGGCTGATAGTATACAATAAGTGTGCAGTGTCTGTTTTAAACATATAGCAAATTTCCAATACTGACTTAAATAAAACTATCAATGTACTTTTTTCTTTGGGGTCAAAATTCCATTGAATTACAAATTCTGATTACGCCTCCCCTTGTAAATTAAACAGATTGCTTGGTCACCACTATGCGCCTTATATATACTTTAATATCATAAAACTACTTAGTATTATTCAGAAACTCAAAATATTCAAAAGACTTACTATCTTTTAGATAAAGAAAAAGGTTTGCAAGGAAGGGCTGATGTAAGGTCAGCAAGCATTAAAATAAATCTATTTAACTGACAGTCTTGATGACAATTAAACAATTTTAACTCCTCAGAGTACACAACATTCTATTCAAGAATTAACTCGGGAAAAAGTAACCCAACATTCGATAAAATGACACTCTGAAGTGAAATACATACAAAACCTTCCTTTCACTTCTTTCACGATGATTTAGAAAAGAAAGATATTAATAGATCTTTAACATTGGATCAAATAAGTGAACATGTATAAGGGTTGCTTACCTTTCCAATAGTGAGTTTTTTCTTAAATGTAGTTTTCTTCAGTGGTGCCTTACAGCCTGGAGGTCTGTGTTTTATTTTGCTGCACCCTATACACTCCACATTGTTTACAGTATCAGCACTGATGTAGTGATACAGGAGGGTTTCCAAGGAGCGATCCACCTACAAAGACCAGGCATTCACTAAATAATACACGTGTCTCTATCTGTGGTAGTCAGAAGACATCAATGTTATTGTTACTGGCTCAAAACAAAAGCTTCTCAGCAACATTACCAGAGTATTTGCCCCTCGGTATCAGACAAAATAACACTCCTGGGGTTTTCCTGTCACCTTCCGCAAATATTCTGGTATGTTGCCCTTCAAGCCATGTAATATTTATGTATAATGTCATCTTCAAAGAATGTGATAAATGCAAATTGTTTTATAGTTTCAAAAGAGTCTCTGGGTGGATCCATAAAAGTTCTGTCTAACACCCCTTTATTTTGAGGCATGAACAATATGAAGTCAATGTTACACTGACCCAGATACTCTGTGGAATGGACAGTGACAGGCTGTCAAAGTGATCGTATCTGACCGGGTTCCTGTAGCCACACTCCACACACTCCAACTGACTGGCCAGCAGGCCACGAAATGGGTGCTCCATCTCACGATGTGGAATTAAAGGCAGGGGGCACTGGATTCTGTTTATAGCATGCTCATTCTTCAGGAACTCAGTCTCAGGATTCTAGAAAAGCAGTCAACATAGTAAAAATACATCTATAGAATACTCTAAAGAATAAAAATCTAATCTACAGCCAAGGCCATAACAGTCACCTGAGTATATTCCAACAAGGTAAGGATCCACAGAAGTATAACATAAAACAAAATTTTAACTGGTAGATAGTATACACTTATCCAATGGGTGTGAGTGGGATAGCTCTTTTATCAAACCCGTGACAGAAAACTATTCCCCGAGGGCTTGCCCGAGGGGAATAGTTTCTGTCAAGGGTTTGAGAAAAGAGCTATCCCACTCACACCCAGTGGATAAGCGTTTTATTATACTGATGTATAATATAATTCCTGAGGTTTTAATTTTTTAGGAGTAAGATAATACTGCAATAATAATCTGAAAACCTGATGACGTCACAATGCTACTGAAGTCATTATAACATCATCAGTTGATAGATTTATTGCTGAAAACCAAAATTGGAGGCAAAAATTGCATGAAAATTTTCCGAGGGTGGATAGCAAAAACTATACCCCGGGGTATAGCTTTGCTATGCGTGAACTATAAAAGATAGCTATTTTACCTTCTGAACTTTATATAGGAAACATTTTAACAGAAGTATAATAAATATGTTTCCCAAAGTCAAGAGAATAGAATAATTTAATAGAGATGAACAAAATAGTCAAGTACTCAGTTTAATAACATTTTATAAAGTAGAAGAATAATTTGACTTGAATGAAATAGTCTAGTATTCAGGTAACATTTTATAAATTGTAGAATAAAAATTAGGCTTGAATGAAATAGTCTAGTACTCAATTAACATTTTATAAATGTAAATATATTTACTTGCTTGTACTTGCCAATGCTAATACGCAACGTATTGCTATATTCCTGATAATCGATTTTTCTCTCTTAGCAAGCATTTTTGAATTGCAAAAAATTAAGCTTGCATCAAATTGTCACTGTTAAGGTATTAATCTAGATAAATAATATAGAAAATTCTTTCCCACCAACTGGACAATAACAAATGTAAGATTATACAAATTAAAAATACCAATGTATAAATTGCATGTTTTTACAAAAATTGGGCACAAAACTGTGATATGCCGAAAATAACTGTTATACAGTAATATACCTATCACAATTTTATCAAAAAAACATTTCAAAGACTTTGATTATTTTAAAATGTGCAAACTAAAGATATTATTAATTATCCAGGTTCAATCAAGGGTGTACGGGGATTTACCCCAGGTTTTATTCCATACACCCTGAGGCCGAATTTATTTCCTCTGTACCCATAAAAATGCTTTGTAAACATCAGAGTGTGTCTCAATCTATCGATAAGATAACTACGTACTACAATGCATCGTGACGTCATGTTATTTGGCTTTTATCATAGAGAATGCATCCATTGTGACGTCACGTTTTATTTACACCCGGCTCAAGTCGGGTGCACGGATATTTACACCCGACTTTGTAACCAATCAAAGGTCGTGTTACAAGCTAGATAGGAAATAAAGTATTTGGTCTCGCTTTATAAAATCTATAACAGTTTATTCACGTCTATAAGAGAAATTAAAACCATGAAAGTTCCTTTTGTATTATACACAAAAAATTCTATTATAATTCCTTTATCAACTGACCTATCTTTTACATATTAAAAGTGATTATTATCAAAGGTGAAATAATTTCCCACAAATCTGCAGTCTGTGAAAACATCCTTACTTTATATTACAGCTTTGTACATTGTATTCTGTATTCAATTTAGTTGTCTTAAATACTGTACAAGTATTTTTTTCTGTCTGATTCTTAGTTTTCTAACTACAAAATACTTGATCCTGGGGCCATTATTTTCAAATATTTGGTAAAGTGCTCAATGCTTATCATGTCATTTGTATACTTGATGTTCAGAATTAAATAAGTTTTTTTTTTAAAGATTATATCACTTCTCAGGCCACATGGAGTAGGGGCATGAATTTAATACCATTTACTCATAAATGCTTTATGCCAATTTTGGTGGAAATGGGTTGGGGTTCCAGAGAATAGGGATGGGTATCGCCAAAAATTTCATATCGCAATATATCACGATTTTTTCCCACAATATCACGATAATATCATGTTATTTTTAAAAGCAGTTTTTACAATGATTTATATGAAAAGTCATTATTTTTCTAAAATATATGCTGAAAAAACAAAATTTTACTTTCTTGAAATTTTTGTGTATATAAAATCAATTATGTTTGGACGGTAAGATGCCATTCTTTTCACTATTTACAACATTTTTTTTAATACTTTCTGTAATTGTAATTTGAAAGATTGAACAAATAAATCAATAATTTCTGGACCTTATAATATGTACCTAAATACCGGTAATTAGGTCTCAGTATCACGATACATATCACGCAACAAAAAATCGCGATATACCGGTATACCGATAAAATCGCATATCCCTACCAGAGAAGAAGCAAAAAATGTTAAAATGTTCATGGATTCAAAATGGATGATGGACGATACACAGGAAGGAAAAAAATACAGATAGCATTATTTTACCTCAGTGACTCAGGTGACTTAATCATAATTTTAAGTATTAGGTGTCTTCAGTGAAAATTTTTGAAGGCTAATCTGTATTTTAGAAAATACCTCAAAGAGGGAGATAATTTCTGGGAACTTGGTTGTCTCCTCATCAATCGTCTGGGTCAACACATGAAACATTTCATGAGCATCCTGAATTTGATAGAAAAAAAATCCAATATGTATTTCAAATGTTTAACACTGTCACATAATCAACAAACAAGGAAAGAAATGGATAATTTTATCTAAAATAACCATTATATACCAGTAAATAAACCATTATACATGTACATATATATCGGTAAATATGCAAGACACAAAGTCAAGTACATATAGTTAATTTGAATATGTGAGATACCGGAGGTATTTAAAATTTTTGAGTCAAATTTATATTTCCATTTCTATTTGGTTTCTCTGTGATAACTCTTTGAAAGTTAGATCAATTGATATCTTGATAATTCAAACAGATTGTAAATTTTGCCAAACGAAAGGTCAGGAGCTAATGAGGCCTAATATGCATGTAAGTCTCATGCGGCTGTCCTTGTGTTTGACATCAGTGGGCGGGAACTATTGAAACTGACATTGGAGGTCACGCGTAATTTAAAAAATAATTTAGATAGCATTTTTTTTTAGATTTTAATTTACAATTTTATTGCACAATGAAACGGAAATATAATGAATCACTGTTTTGTTTGTGGGGTATGCCAGGGACATCAACATTTAGGAGTGAAAAGGTTCACAGCGGTATTGACTCACCGTGCTATTTTTTCTCGGTTAGATACACAGTACAAAATCTCTACTTTCGGTTCCATTCGTTTTTCAGTCAGGATCGTCATTCAGTCAGGTTTGGCAGAAGGTATAAACATTCTCCTCTGTATAATTTATAGTTCAAAAACCTAAATTTTTGTGGACTTAAAGTTTGTAAAGTATTTTTTAACTGTCAAATTAATTAAATTGATTTATTCTATTCAATTTGCATATAACCTATTTGACTAGATTAAGTAAAGGGAAGCATAAAACAACAGTTGAATTTGTTTCCTTCTATTAAAATGTATTGTATCGAAAATAACTGAACCGAGACCAAATTTTATGATAGGTATTGAACCGTGAGGGAGGCGTATCGTTTCACCCCTATCAACATTAGTTGGAATGTGGGAGAATTTATGCATAACCAGCTTCACCCATTATGCAAATTATCCCTTGTTTCCAATTATCATTGATACCTTGGCATACCAAACAAACTACACAGTGATGACTTAAAAATGTACAATGTTGTTTACCTGTTGCTCAGATGTAATGACCCACTTGTTGGCTACTAAAGCTCTGATCACCTCCACTGGACTGTAGCAGTTATCATCAATCTGTGTCTCATTATTCAGCACTGCAAAGTCAATTGTTCAGTATGATGTTTATTTTTAGCTTTTCATTAGTTAATTTAATTAAAGTGCCCATATGTTTTAACTTTTAAAGCCTGGGTGGGCGTTTTCAATACCAATACTGAATTAACATTAATGGAAGAAAAACATTCCAGCATTTTCTCTCACAATGATTTAGATGTCGATGCAAACTATTTAAGTCTAAATCTTATAATATGGATACACAGGGAGCAACCTTTGACTGTATCGTTCAGTGTACTGGCCATCAATGCAGTCTTCTCATGTCCAGAGCTCACAAAATCAGAAAGCCAGTTCCTTACATGAGAACAAGAGGCCAGGCCTTGTAAAATGGTGTTTAAAAAGCAGGTATTGCCAAGATTCACCAGTCCTGGGCAGCGATCTAAAATATAAACAACACAGGAACAGCTTAAGTACTTGTTCAACTTGTAATCAAATAAGACAACTGAAAAGAAATTCAAAATTATAAGAAGTCAAAGCAACACTACTCTGGACTACATATAGTTCTTTCTGACAAGTGAAAACTGTCAAGTATTTTCACTGTCCAGGGTTGGAAATAATTGCTTGCCTGTCTCGGGGGGCAGGGACAAAATTTCAGTTGCAAGCCTTGTGGTTACAGGCTAATTTAAACAGCTAGTTCCTGTATCCTATTGTTTCTTGCTTTCAAACAGTCTATAGAAATCTTTGAGAATTATATAAGTATAGTATTACAAATTTTAATTAAGTTTTATTTATAGATCAAGTACGTTCATAATAATGAGCATTTAAATCAGGTCTGGCAGATTTTGAGCAGGGCTGGCAACTTTGCGGAACAATATATTCAGGTCCGGTTCGGTTCCGTTTTTCTGGAATCCCGTCCGGTTCCAATTTGTACAATAGACTCGATTTTACCATAAAAATGGCCTCTAAAACAAAAGGTTAATTAGATATTACCATTATAATGTGATTTGAATCATTTGGTTCAATTATTTTTCTAGTCAGAAAACAACTTGACCTGAAAATTAAGGAACAGTGACAGTCTATGCGAAAGTTTAAAATTTTTACAGGACAAAATGTCTGGTAAAAATAAAATTTTTAACCAGACCAAACAATTTCTTACCAGACCGACTTTTTTTCCTTTAAACATGTTAAATCCATATATCATTATGATACTGAGATTGAGAGGGTGGGTGGGATGGGGTTAATTCACACTGTGAAATTTAACTTTAAATAAATTCAGAGTGAAATAGACAAGTTAACTATTTATAATTTTCCTTTGTAAAAGTTATCTATTTAAACAATTGCATGCATTTTTTTTCGTATTTGACTTATACAACATACACTGTATCAAAGATTTTCTTAAATTTAATATATGCACTTTCATTGCATATTCATTTTTCCTGAAACAATTCATTATGGTTACTCAAGTTCAATGATCATTTGAAAATAATTTCCCAACCGAATATACGTATGAGCTATCTAAATATTTTCCCAACCAAATCTACGTATGAGCTATCTAAAGATCTCTAATCCTTGACAGAGGAAATTCGAATTAGAATAAAAACGATCATGACAGGGTTGTAATACATAGAATTTAATCAGGTATTACTGCTAAATTGGTCAAATAGAGGTTATTTGTGGGGAATTTGACCATGTGTACCTCTTTATTTAGATTTATTTGGCCTTATTTTTTATCGGACATTTGGTCCTGTATACTGAAATTTTTTACCGACCCGACCTAAATTTTACCGGTAAAAACCGACGGTCCGGTGACTTTCGCATAGACTGCAGTGACATTCTTATCATACATCAAAGGTTTTTACAATGCTTGGATCTGTTGCTCTCTGCTTTATCTAAGAGCTACAGTTCTGCAGCTAACATCAATATTGACAGAAGTTGTACAGACAAGTCTCTTCTAGATTGTTGATAAGCAAGTTATGTGATTTAGGATGATTTGATGTTAAATCTTGGGATTCTGATGACACACAGAATCTGAAACCTATAGAATGTACCACCACCCATACCATGATTCAGTTTTTATTTCCTAGAGGCAAGTATGTTTGGCTGTAAACAGGTAGAATACACAGAATAAATGGATCACCTGAACACATCCAGTAAGGTTCCTTCTTCATGGGTGAGATCACATCTAACAGGTGAGCTTCTTTGAGCGTGATGAGAAGAGAAGGGGACTTTGATGAGGATGAGGAAGCTTGTGGTGAAGTAGTTTGTGATGAAGAAGAAGCTTGGGATGTTGAAGGAACTTGAGAGGTAGAGGGAACTTGTGATGTAGAGACATCTTGAGAACAGTGAAGATAGAAAGGACAGTTATGATAAGAAACAGTGAAGATAGAAAAGATGACAGTTATAATAAGAAACAGTGAAGATAGAAAGGATGACAGTTATAATAAGAAACAGCTTCTTGAATTGTAAAGAAAGTAAAAAAAGAAGTTATGAGTAGAATAGCTCAAGAAAATGAAATATGAAAGATAAAAAAAAAATCAGTATGAGTGAAGGGAAAAAAAAGTAAGTCAAAAGGTGTTGATTAAAATGTTTATTAACCATTGTTAACCTGCAGTCAGGAGGTATCAGTGAAAGCCATGATGGAGAGAGGATCAGTACGGTCACCACTAAGCTACTGAAGTTTCTCTTGATATATGACAACAGATTGATAGGTCAATGAGTGAAAGATCTGTATTTAAGGTCATTGGTCAATCCCGAAGGTTAACAGACTTGACCAAGAATCTTCCTATTAAATTTTTAGAGAATATGTAAGCAGGTAAGTATCCAAGTACCAGTGTGTACCTGTAAATGTACTGTGTATACACACAAGAGAAAGTGGTGTCACACGCATACTTGTTTATTACAAAACAAATAACACTAAATCAAGACAATATAAAGTACATTCATTTTGATATGATTTGTAATTTGCCACAATAAACATTTCGAGTGATGTTGTAATGTCTCAATGTCATGATCTTTTTCAAGAGTCTTGATCTGAGTAACAATATCCGGTAACTGGAAAAACCCGAAACCCCCCGATTTTTGGAGAATACCCATACAGGAGGGGTGAAACCCCAATAAAGTGGTGGAAACCCCATAAAATTGAATGTAATGGGGTACTATAAGTCCTAAGGTGATGTTTAATTGAATGATATTGACATCCGTAAATTTTTATAGCCAATTTTACCTCAGAATCGACGGTTTTCTTCTTGTCTTGATATACTGCACACCACGCCCGATCTAAATTCGCGATCGCTGAAGTCGTTTCGACTAATCCGTGGAAATAATTACTGTAATCTTGATCAATATGAATATTATATTATGTATGAATATTATTTTAAAAAAAATTATTTGCAAGGAAACCTTAAGAATATAAAAGAAGTATGAAATATTTATCATGTTGAAAGACATTACAGTGCAATGTTTAAATTGATTTTTTTTTTTTTAAAGAATTTAACTAGTCCATTAATCAAGAAATAAAGTCATTTTTATAAATTCCAATCATTTATAATATGTAATTAAATTAAATTAATTAATGAATGAATCTGTTAATGTAATTATTATAATGAAAGACATTACAGTGAAATTTTTAATTGAATGTTTTTTTTATGAATTTAACTAGTCCATTAATCAAGGAATAAAGTAATTTTTCTCAATTCCAATCATTTATAACATGTAATTAAATTAAATTAACTAATGAATGAATTTGTTAATTTATTTAATTTTTAATTAAGGTGTTTGTTTTGAAATGTTTTCTTCTATGTTTAATAATTAATTTTTAAATTCAGTATTCATTCATTATTATTTTCCAGTTACTAATTTTTTGTTTTAATGTTTTTGGTTCTGTTTTTTTTTTTTTTTTTTTTTTTTGGAGAGTGTGTTGTTGTTGTTTTTTTATTTTTTTTTTTTTTGGTTTGTTTTTTGTTTTGTTTTGTTTTGTTTTTTATGCAAGTAATAGAAAGATATGAGAAAGCAACATGTATCCATTACAATGAATTTATTAGAATCCAGGTCTATGAAACAAAAAAGTCTGATAAAAAATAATAAAAATGTGCATGTTGCATATGTGAATCCTTGTACAGTTGGCATTGTAACATTATTTTGAGAATATTATTCACACCTCCGCTAGCTCTGTTGTTTTGTACTGGGATAGACAGGCACCCCTGTGTGTGTACATGCACTATATACACAGCTGTTGACACTTGGTCAACTTGATAATAAACACCTTTTGTTTAAACACCTGGGTTCCCAGCTAGTCTGACCAACCCCCCTCTGGCAGGGCATGTGTATATACATTGAACCTTTACTATTCTCAATTGTACAGTTATGCTTTACAGAATTTCATTTTAAGGACGTTAGCACACACATAAGGAAAATATGAATTTTGATAATTTTGATAATTCATGACAAATTAATAAATAAAGACCTTTTAAATTAGTAATAACTGAAAATATTCATAGTTTCCTTATGTTCCCAGCTCTAGCCTCGTGGAGGCCTCCTTAAGTGTAGAGCCATGATTTGAATTATGAAACAAAAATATTAAAACCAAAGGACCTAAAGATGACCGAAAGATAAAAAATAAAAAAAAAAAACTTTAAAAAGATTTTTAAAAAACTTAAAGATACTAGTACTGGATCATTATTCCTAGTCAATCTTTTGTTCATATATAAAAATATTACAGCCAAATGAAAGTAATATACATGAAATAAAATAACATAATAAAAATTTTAGAGAAAGGAATTTATAATTTGATTAGCAATGATTTAAAAAAACAATAACATTCCTAACCTAACCTAACCTAACCTAACACAACACCAAACAGTATTCACTGGTCTGCACCCGTCTGGCGGGGGAGGAATACGTACTGCCTGATACTAACCCTATTCTAAGTTCTAACCTAACACAACACCAAACAGTATTCACTGGTCTGCACCCGTCTGGCGGGGGAGGAATACTGCCTGATACTAACCCTACTCTAGAAAAAATAATAAATATACAATCTTAAAAACATTTTTGGTTTTGTTTTTTGGTTTCAGGCATTAAATTTTTCAGTGACAAAGATACTACAACAAAAAGCTTTATTTATAGTCAATCTTTTGGAAGAGCAGTTGAATTTTGTCCAACAAAAATGTTTCTACAAGTGGGAGAAAAAGATATAAATTCATCTTCTGTGTCAGAAATAGTGTTAGGAATCCAAAACATTATTGAAAAACTGTTAAGAAATGATTCGGTTCAAAAAATATTCATTGGAAGTCTGTTTAGGCAAATGATTTGTGGTACCATGGATCCAGGAAAGTACAATTCTACGGTTTTTGATATAAATAACACATTCCGGAGGAAATATGGAAATTCTCAGAATGTGATATTTTGGAGATGTAGGGGTTTAATGAATTCGAATAAAAA